TCAGCACCTGATGTTGACGCCCACTTCTTCATATGGGCCGCCATCGCAAACTCCGCAAAACCTTAAGGATGGGAGGCAGTGCACTTAGTGCAGCTCCCATCACCGACGAAGCGGAACCCCGCGTGCCATCTCGCAACGGTGTTGCGACGTGTTAGAGTTCTGACATCATTAAACCTCAACGCTTCCCAGACTCCCAATACGCGTCAGTCTTTTCCGCCAAGAGCAAGCTGGGCTCCGCTTCCGAACTTTGGCGTCGCTTCACGCTGTGGCCGCCGGAAGCAAGGGAGCCCCCTAAAGCGATTGGCTTCTTGCTGCTGTGGTGCGGCTGATTGGTAGGCCGGTCGTATGTGGAAAACTGGCTCGAAAGCAATCATGAAAAAAACAATCTGAGACGTGATGACCTTCATTGCAGCGAAGTCCGGTTGAGTGGTAAGTTTCTTCAAGGCGATCTGTAGATGATACTGAAACCTGTCAAACCATAGCGGTCACAGCAGACGTGACCGGCCCAAAGTAGTACATTAGCACTTAATCTAGGAGAACTGTAGCGATGTATATGGAGCGATGTTTGGGATCTCGGGGTCTTCTCCACCCAAAAATCTTTGCAAGCCTATGGGCGCAAACATGTACTGCACTGTATCACGTGCTGATGCATTCGGGCTCTGGACCTGGATTTCAAAGGGTTGTTGTTATGCTGTTATGCTACTTCTCGCACATCACGAACTGGAACCTTCAATTCATCAAGAAACCGAAGATAAATAGGAAGCACTCGGTCTGTCGTCAGTCTTCTGCACGACAAGCCGGGAGATTCGCCGATTGATTTCCTGACTCGACATGTTGCTAGCGATGGCTGTAGAAGCAGGGCACCTGACGAGTGGGCTTCCGTGCAATTCTCCGTGGCCAGGCCTAAACGCCAGCACGTCCGTTGACAACGAAGCGTAGGTTGCCCTTGAACACGAAACCCGAATCACCTTTGGCAAAACGTCTGAGACATGTCTGCTGCAGATTGTATGGATTGTCTTTGCACTTACCTTTCGTCAACTGGCCGTGGACCTAGACAGGTCTAAACTCTGAAATCGCACCGTATCGGGTTTTGCCTGTTCAAGGGACCAACCGAGTCGTACCCTTGAAGATGGTCATCTTCAGGACTCGACAACATCCACGTTCCGGCGGATCTAGCTTCAGACTACCACCACTGTGACTAAGACTACTTCTGCACCGCTACTGCTCCTGCTCTTCTTGCTGACCCTACTGCAGCCGCAACTGTTACTGGTACTGCTACTGCTAATCCAACTGTTACTCCTACTCCTGCTCCCGATCGCTGCTCACATAATCGGTGAGACATGGGTTTGTTTTCGTCCGAACGGGTGATGCTTGTGGATTTGTTTTCATCCGGGAAGTATGCTTTGGATTGGCAAGTTTCACTGAAGCCGTACCGCAAAAGCTTCTGGGGTTTGTGACCTGACAAAAAAAGGGAACGAGCACTAGGATGGATGTTGATAGTGTCATTGCCTAGGCGATGGCCTACCCAAGCACGAGGGTTCTTCCAGCCCGAAGCTCCCGCTGTCAATGTCGCTACTGCAGATGCCATGCTCTGCCATGCTGCACAGACCGGCTGATCGGGACTCACAAGCGCTCAAATTCCATCTGGCTTTGGCTACAATCCGATCACCACCTCATCCAAAGTCGTGACGATAAAATCTTGCTTCCGGCCTTGGCAACCTGAAAAGTCGTGGTCCCCCCTTTCGAGCCCGGAGACAACAGACAAGAGCCATAAAGAGCCCGGAATCTGGCAGGAAACGTCATAGAATGCCGTGTTGAAAGAAGGAAGCTTATCTTATTGTTGCGTGCTCCAAGCACGGAGGCTTGTGCCATCTTGCCTTGACTGGCAGCCCTACAGCCCCTAAGCCGACTGTACAGGCTAGCACTCATGGTACAGTATTCTTGCGAAAATGGGAAGTCAAACAGGCCTGACAGGGTGAAAAGATCCGGCTGGGCACCACCGAGGCCTGTCTCGAAACTTGCTCCTGCCACTGCGCATTGGAAACCATATGATCTACTAGGACAAGACATCTACGACCGAACGCAAGCCCGGTCCGACGACGTTTGCCGTTGCCGATTTCTTGTAGGCTCGAGACATTTAGGTGTGCCAGCCTCAGTCTTCAGCTGAATAGTGCAAGACCGACAGCTCCAGCAAGCTGTTGCACTCTTTCCTGAGACAGGGCTGTTCACAAGCTTCTCTCGGGGGCTTGGGCCAACTTGGGTTCATGGGTCCTCGGCTGGGTTGACTTGACTGTGGACCCAGGGCAGCAAGGGCTTGGGCTAGTCAGCTTCAGGATCCTTTCCGGACTCTTCGACCCAGTGATGGCAGCATCGGGCTCAAGACCCAAGCCAATTCTTGGCATCCAACAAGATATCCGAAGATCCTGTGGCCCTTGAACTTCGTTGCTTCTTCACCGTGTCTGCAACCAGCTGGGAGGAAAAGAGACGTCAGAATTCTCACCGAAGCACAGAGGACTCCTTGCCTTGGATCCTTTGAACTGTTGGGCTTTGGCGCTCCCGTCCTACAACGGTCTTAATGGCACACTCAAAGCAGCCAAGGCACATCTTCAGCCTCGGCAAAACAAGCGCAAGGTTCCCGGTTTGCCAAGAATGCAGGTTTTCAAGATTTGCATGATTATGCATGCAACCGCCGATGAAGCAGGCCTAGCATCGCTAGCAGGGGGAAGGCGTGGCGCGCCTGATCTCTTTCCCGCCACGTCACAGCATCTCTTCTGGTCGACCCTGCGTGCCGTTCACCGCCACGATACGGTCATGGAGCTGAACCGCCTGAGTCCCAACGCCAAGGTGGACAATTCCAAGTCCAGGCTGCGTGCTCGGAAGGACTGGCATCCAAAACATACAACAAAGAACGCAAGTAAAGCATTGAGGGAGCACATGGTTGCCTCTCACCTGAGAGGCTCAAGAGTTCGAATTCACCCAAAAGCAATGGCTCCACAACTTGATCACACCTTCGATTCCGACCTCGAAGCCCCCACTTCTCTGAGAGACTCTCAGTTTGCAAACCGCTGCCACTGCCTGGTCTGGCATCTCTTGGTTCCACTTCGTCAGCAGTCCTTTGGCAGGTGAGAACCAGTGTTTCTCCGTTCCCGCAAGACCTCACCTAGCATTGGTGAATGCTGGCAGCAATACTTCAGCACTTATGTAGAAGCAGTCGCGGTCGAGGTGGTTGTCGGTGGCGCGGCGTCGCCGTGGAATCGCAACGGGGCATAATAAGGCACAAGACACAAGTTACAAGGAACAAGAATCAACAAACAAGACACAAGTTACAAGCCACATGGTGGTAGCAGCAAAGGAAAAGGAAGACCGTGAAGAAGCAGCAACAGCAATGGGAAATGTGCATGTCGTACGCTGCTAAAGTGGACAACCATAGCACGAGCAACAACACTTTGCCTGCAAGGCTTCATGACAAGCATGAGAACGACGATAAGGACGCTAATGACAGTGATTCCAACAGTGGCAGAACACAGCGAGAGAAGCTGCATGGCGTAAAACAGTCACAACGACGACGACGAGGGAGGAGAAGCAGACAATCATCGGTGGCTGTCTAAAGTCTAAAGCACACGGCGAGACTAATTACCAGGCAGCTGAACAAAACAAATCTGACCAACCGCCGGCTTAAACAACAGTGAAAGATGTCAAACGAAACGCGATGAGGATAATCGTAGTCATGTTCTCACGGCACGGATTGCCGCTTACAGAAGTTGCGAAACCAGCTGTGCAACAACAGATGCTGAACAGTGAATCCCTCTGCTCATCTTGCTCGCCAAGGCGCCTGGTGTGATCTTCGAAATCCAGGGGGCAGCTGAACCAATCTGGACGGACTTGCGAGTTTATGTTGGTTTCAGCAGCAACAACACCAACAGACACCAACATCAACTGCCAGAGCAACAAGAAAACAAGAAGAAGGAACGAACAAAAGCTGCAACGCCAACAGCTGCGCGCGTAGCCAGAACAGTAGCTGGATCAATGCAAACACTCGGAAGATAACAGAATGAGAAGGTGATAGGAAATCTCTACCCAATGTCACAAAGTTCCTACACCTCTGCGTCCTGTGCTGATACAATGCCCATTGCTGTTGCTGTCAAACTTCATACGAATTTCGGTTTATACGGCAGCCAATGCCGAGCTTGAAGCCATGAGCCAAAATCACGAAACTAACTCGCGCCTTCTTGTAGTTTAGCACCATCCCAATCTCTCCCGGGCGTTGGAGCTTGAGTACCCTGGCGGAGGTTCTGGCTACGAAGTCTTCAATCCGGCGTGCTCGGGCAGGGCGTAGCAGATTCGGGCTTCCCAGCGAAGCGAAAGTCTGCTACACATAGCACACGCGGGCTGGAGGGCGTATGTCGAATGCTTGCCCATGCCGCACAAACCCTCTCAGGGCGGTCCGCTGCAGACAGCTTCACATGTTCATCGTTCAGCATTGAACGATTTTTCTGTGTGGCGCGAAGATAGTTCTACAGGGTGGTGGCCACGACTCGGAATGCTGAAAGAGAGACCCGCTGCCAAGACCTCTGTTCGGGCCGTTGCACGACGATGTTCAAGGTGTCGGAAAGGTCCAGCGCCTGTGGCATGGAATGCAGTGCCTAGCAGCCCTTGTAGCGTCTTATGAGCTTGCGGGCTTCAGCACTGTTCCTTTCAATATCTTCGAAAGATGCCACGGCCCCTCTTTCATGGAATTGTGTTATTGAAGCTCCGATGTCGTATTCTCAGCGCCTTGGCAATGTCAATCGCCGGGCCCTTGATGCCATTCACTTCCACGATGCGATCAAGTCTCGGCCGGCGTGCGTGGTTGGCAACGCATGGACGGTGGTAGAATTAGAACTTGTGCGATCTAGCGCGTGTCTCACAAGAACATTCATCCACAGGTAGCAAGTCGTGAGTCGCGATCCTTGCTCACTTACCTTTTCCGGGCATTTTGAATTATGAAGCCAGGCGTAATTTTATACCAGCACCGAGCCAAGGATCTTCTTGAGTTTGTTGTCTGGCTTGTTCTGGTTCCAATTGTCGATGGCCCCCCCCGGCAGGATGTCCTTCAAACAAGCAGGAGACTCGTACCCCCTGATTGCACTTCAGGCGCATGGCGAGACTAAATACACGCATCCGTACTCCGTGCTGTGGGAGGATCTGCGAGAACTTGAAACCGCAATCCTCTGCCACCGACACTACTCCAATACGGAGAGTCCTTTATGACAGTGCACACGGGATTCGTAGCATCAACCTGCAATGGGACAAAGATCTGCACGAATCGGCATGTGTCGCGAGCGAAGGACATGCTGTCTGACAGAGCTGCAACCAAATTCTCCAGAAGGTCGAAAGCGACACCAAATCCATAGGCTACGATGCCGCGGTGCCTGTAGCCCATGCTTCCCGTCGCCAGGTGACAACTCAGCTGCAAGTGTGTCCACGAAGTGTACCCAGTGAGAAATGTCTGGTTTTGCGGTTTGGCGTCTCTTGACCGCAAGCGCGGAGAGGGAAAGGGGCTCTGCTACTTTGGTGTCTGGCCTTTGGACTCAGCGCTGCTGGGAGCTACCCCCCGTCACGGCAAGTTGTCAAAACCAAAACTGCATGATTACTGCAAAGCTGCAACAAAAAACAAAGCCAAGTCACCAACAAAAGCCTCCAGTGATTGTTACCCCCAGATGCTGCGCTGAATGCGAGCGCACAGCTCTGCTGCTCAAACCCACCGGCAAGGCGCCTTGATGGTGAAGGTGTCCGGGACTGTATCCGGATCCGTCATTGCTGGGGCGGTCCTGGCTGCATCACATGACAGCCGCTTTGCATGGGAACTGGGACCCTTGGGCTGTGCCCACCTGGGCCTTGTGGCAGCCGAGGCTCTGCACCAAACCCTTGAAGTGCTCCTCAGACATCTTGTTGGCTTCTTTCTCCTCTTCCTCGGCTGTTGCACAGAGCAGGTGTCACGCTCCCAGAAGGGAGCCGAAGGAGGAAGAAGAAATGCCTTCGGATGACTTCATGCCAGTAACACCTTAGAGGTTGGTTTCAGTTGTCTTGGCTTCCTATCATGCACAAGCCTCATCAAACCAAATGCACAACCTCAGAGTTCTCCAGACTCCAGACCGGATCAAGATGCCGCTGCGCAGCAGCAGAACCTGGCCCAAACTTCAGTCGTGGGAAGGAGAGTTGTCCTGGTTGATCTGTTTCGAAGCTGTCGCAGCTGCGAGGCAAATGGAACGCTGCAGCCGAGAAGCAACATTGTGCCCGAGGATGCTGGGCACGGGTCCCGTTAGGGAGGCCCGCGGCAAAGGAGAACTGCACCCTGAAGAATCCTAGGTCCTAGGAGCTCTAAAGCAACCTCTCAGAAGCTTCAGCTAGGACAAGTTGCAAGCTTGTGGTCAAGTTGGACTGCACAGAAGTACCATTTGATCTTCGACCCTCTCTGCTGCAAGCCAAACAGATATCACCGGACGTGCCCGCTACTGGCAAGTGTAGTCAGAGCATCGTGAGCACCGTCGAGCATCAACCAACCAGATTTAAACTGGATTCCTGGACTGCAGAGCCACATCTATCCTACCGTCTCTGTGCCCTCACTTGATCTCCAAGGCCCCATTTCATCAGACACACGCTGCCAATGTCGAAGGCAGATAATACACAACATCTTAAATCTTCAAAGCATCAAGCTTCACGCCAAAGTCTCAACTCGAACCGCGTTCCCTTCCTAAACGCCCATGTGCCCGGGTCCTTTCTCTCTTCCTCAGTTATCCGAAACAGCCAGGGGCTTCGTGGTTATCGGTCACTGGATCAGGCTGGGGAAATTTCTGACACCTGGCATCAAGGTTTGAAAATGCAATCCGTCATCGTCGACTGTGATCTACACAAAGCAACCGCGGCACCAAGAGCACTCTCTTCTCGTGGAGCTCCTGGTGCAGGAGCTTTTTTTTGGGGACATCGCAAAAGAAAAAGGAAAGGAAATACACATGTTGGCCCATGGAAGCGATAATGGTTCCGCCGTCCTGGCGCTTTGCTTTGCTCTCTGCCAGCATAGCCCGCAAGTGCTTCAATCGATCCTCAAAGCAAGACGTGGTTTGCAGGTGAGTTCTTTGCATGCACTTCATCACCAAATTGACCGGGTAGCGTCACCACATCGGGACGTGACCATGAAGCCTTCCTCTCAAACACGACCACAACTCTATCGTGCCGATGTGCCCAAAGATCCACCCGCTCGGAGGTCCACTGCTTCTCTTCCGCTGCCATGGCGTTCCTCATCTCAATTCTTTGCTTTGAGCTCTGAGCTTTGCTTGCAAGACTTACATGAGTCTCGCGAGTGTTAGGCGGCTGCGGATCAAAAAAATAAAAAAGGATCAAAAAATTAAAAAATTAGGATCAAAAGCAGTAAAAAAAGTATCAATAAAAAATAAAAAGCGAACCCGGGCTGTCACGGCTGTAAAGCGCGCTAAAATTCCTTGTTTTTCGGAGGTGCGGCCAACGACTTTGTTCAGGTCAAGCTATTGGTGAAGTCCAATTTGTGCAGCCTGGTTTTCCCTCAAGCTATTGGGGAATTCGAATTCGTGGGGCTTGGTCCTCTCTGAAGTTATTCGTGAATTCCAATTTGTGCAGCCTGGTTTTTGTAAGCTATTGGGGCATTCGAATTCGTGGGGCCTGGTCTTCTCACAAGCTATTCGTGAATTCCAATTTGTGCAGCCTGGCTTTTGCAAGCTATCGGGGCATTCGAATTCGTGGGGCCTGGTCTTCTCTCAAGCTATTTGTGAATTCCAATTTATGGGGTTTGGTCTTCTCTCAAGCTATTCGTGAATTCCAATTCGTGGGAAAGTCTCACTGTGGTGGGACTTATCCAGAATGGCGCGGGCATTCACACAGTTTGCCGAGTCATTCCCAGTCACATGCGATCGGCACAGACCAGATGCACATGTATCCTGCGCGATTCTATCGATACTTGTTGTTGTAGGTGTTGGTGTTGGTGTTGGTGTTGGTGTTGTTGTTGGTGTTGGTGTTGGTGTAGGTGTTGGTGTTGGTGTTGGTGTTGGTGTTGGTGTTGGTGTTGGCGTTGGCGTTGGGGTTGAGGTTGGTGTTCGAGTAGTAGTAGTAGTCGTAGTAGTAGTAGTTTTGTCACCCACTTGGCACCCCAACGACAGCACTGCAGGGTCTTGACTNNGGTAACACAAGGCTTCCGCTTCCACTCAAAACAAACCACAAGCCAAGCACAACTCAACACAGTTCAAAGAGAAGCCTCGTGTCGCCCCATGCATTCTTTTCAATTATTAGTTCAAAAGACTCAGTCGTCCCAAACTACAAATCCAACTCCAAACTAGCCATCTTGGCGAGGACTCGACGTCTTTGCATCCAATTACTAATTACTGAGATACAAGTTGTGCAGCACTAATCGGCTACTCGGCGCCTCCTCTGTACATTGTCCAGAGTAGAACCTACTACGATGCTCCCACGCGCAAGTACGCCAAGGCAAACCTGAAACACTACCCAAACATTACAGTATCGGTCTTTGCACGAGGGGACATCATTACTAATCAGCTGCCGAGCTGTTCAGACTGTTATGTCACTCATCTGGCTCAGGTTGTCTGTCTGTAACCATCGCGCACCATCAAGCCAGCCAGCATCCCTGTGAGAGTCACAGGGAGGGGGGCGCCGCACTTCCACATAGTAAAGGTCCTCATGTCGTGCAGGCATGTTAGCTCCCCTCCATCTTCCTGTGCTTCTTTGTTCGCAGAGCTGCAGCACGTAGCAGTGCCGGTTCACAGCCCTTTGTGCTGGGTCTTCTTAGTGGCTGTCCACTTTGGCATGTCCCGTCCATGGGAGGCCGTAAACGTGGCTTTGTTGGCATGTCCCAAGCGGGAGGCCGTAAAGTCGTCCGCCTCGGGGGCGGCCAATGTGTCACGGGCCATGCATCCACTGCTATATATCTCGTTCAGAAAGAGCCAAGTGAGTCACTTTCACAGCCCTTTGCAGCCAGATAGGGCGCAAAGTTGTGGTATATCCCATGCCTGGGAGGTCGCAAAGTCATCACGTCCACACATCCCGTACATGGAAAGCCACGCTTAGGTCACCCTTCTGTGCGAAGCGTGATTCGGCGCAGGCTCACTGTGTCCGGCTCATCTTTCACCAGGTTCCAGCGTGCTCCAATGTGCGACGGGCCAGGTTCTTTATAGGTATGTGTGTCATACCATGACCAGCTCATCAAGGAGTCAGCGATGGTAGCCACAGTTTTCCGGCATGCCTCCATAGAGACGGTCCGGTTCGTTGTTGTTGTCATGTCATGCCGCGTCATCACCAGCTAATCACTCGGAGTCAGCTATGGCAAATCTGTGGCCTCGTCAGTCAGCTGTCAGCGAAAGCCAGTCAGTCCAGTAAGTAGCGAAACAATATGCGTCTTCACTTTGCCAGCTCGGGCGCTTCCACAAACACCGAGCGTCTTCGCACATCTTGTGTCATAGCAAAGCAGATGTACCATGGCGACACGCGGGCTTTGTGTGAGACAGCCCTATGCTTTCCCGACTGAAGTGAGGTGCTAGGGACCATGATTGTAGGAGGGATACCGTAGAACCCAACCCAGACAAGACAGAACAGACAGGGCAAGGGAGCACAGCAGGGAGTCGGCAAGGGAGGCATCAGTGCAGCAGTGCAAGGGGCAAGGAAACAAAGGGCAGTGCATAGTACTAAGGCAAGGACGGTAGAAACTTAATTAAACGCATTTTCCACGGGCGTCATCATGCGTATTGCACGCATTCACACCACCCCGACGAGAAACCACGATCATCAGTCGTCATCAATTCCATCAGTGCCCGGTCATCTTCGTCCTCTTCCTCAGTGAGGTCAATCAGGGGAGCAGTCCATGCCCCGAAGCTTGGTGCTGCGGCTTGTGGGTGTTGGGTGTTCCCGGTTACCTCTTCAGGTGACAACACCTGAGTGTTTTCCTTAGTCACAGCTTTGCTCCGGGCCAGGAGTGTCAGAATCGAGGTTTGGGCTGGGGCAACCTTGGGGTGCACAAGATAGCCGAGTTCCATGAGTCTATCAAGGACATGTTGTTGGGGCGTTTGGGCTCTGACCAGTTGGAAGGCACTCACGCTTATTCTTCGGGCCTGCCCTATTTGAATTCCACAGTGAGGTTGTCTGGGGTCAAAGGTTAGGGCGCCTGATCGCAAGTCGTGGACTTCCCCAACAACAAATCGACCCTCAAACTCCTCAAAGAAATCTCCCGTAGCCATTGCCCTCCAGAACCCACATGGCCTCGCGCCCATACCCGAAAGCACACCACTAGTCCCGACCACACCTAGATCACGGTGGGCTGCTAACTAGTAGTAGTAGTAGTAGTAGTAGTAGTAGTAGTAGTGGTAGTGGTAGTAAGTAGTAGTAGTAGTAGTAGTAGTAGTAGTAGTAGTAGTAGTAATTGTTGTTGTTATTGTTGTTGTTGTTGTTGTGGGTTGTGGGTTGAGGTTTTAGCTGTCGTTGTATGGTAGTTGCGGTTGTTGTTGATATTGTTATCATTGTTGTCGTCGTTGTGTTGTTGTTGCTGTTGTTGATGTTGTTGTTGTTGCTGCTGGCGTTGTTGTTGTCGTTGTAGCTGTCGTTGTTGTGATTATATTGTAATATAGAAGAATATACTATAACATGATTAAATATAATATATTATCATCTAATCTGATATACGATCATATAATATCACATAATATAATATCATGTAGTCTAATATGAAATAATAGGGCTTTGGGCTTGGGTTTTTTGATGGCTTAGGGTTATGCTACTACTTGGTCACAACGGGCGCGCCTGCCCCTTGTGGATACGGCTTTCCTTCTCCCTTCTTGTCTGTATCTCTTTCTTTCGCTGTGGCGTTCATTTGCTATTGCTGCATTTGTTCTGTCAGTCTTTCTGTCTTTATTTATGACGTTGTTCCGCCCTTTATTTCTTTCGTTCTTTGCTGCTCTCTTCCTCTCTTTATTTCTTTCTTTCGTTCGTTCTTTCGTTCTTCTCTCTTTTTCTCTTTCTTTATTTATTTATTGCTTTCTTTCTTTCGTTCTTTCGTTCATTCGATCTGTCGTTGTTTCTTTCTTTCTTTTGTTCTTTCTGTCTCCGCTCCTTTCCCTTGTGTTTCCATGCTTAACAATAGCTTTGTGCCGTTCTTGATGCGTTTTTTGCAGTTTTGTTTTTGTTGATGCCTCTCCCAGCAGAGGGTCAGGGGACCAGAGGACCGGGGGACCAGGAGACCGGAGGTCCAGTGGACCAGAGGACCATGTTGACCAGGAAGACCATAAGCCCCTAGCCCTTGATTGAGCTTTTATTTTTCTGATCCTTGTTTATTTGTTGATCCCTTTTTATTGTTTTTTGATCCTTTTTATTCTTTTGCACAACGAAACTGAAGACCGACCCTGCTGGTAAAGAACCACGCTTGCTATCACCAGCATCACGAAGACAAGCAAATAAACGCAGGTTCTGAGCCCTGTTCTCGAAGTTACTGATCTCCTTCGTCGCGCTCAGGATCTCGGCCTGGGCCTCCGCGCGCTCCGTGTGCAAGGTATGGCTACGACAGACATACATACATACCTACATACCTGGACCTACCTACCTACCAACCAACCAACCGACCTACATACATAATTACATACATACATACAAGCATGCAAACACTTCGCACAAATGTTTGAACAAAGAATTATGCAAGTCTGCAGAATGCACGTGGCATGGATGGTGCATGTTATGCCCAGGCTGCGACGACCTTTACGACCGCGGCGACCAGGACCACGAAACCACCAGGAGACCAGCAAAGAGACTATCAGGCGACCATAAGGACACCCCTGCATGCCTACCTATCCATCCATCCATCTTTCTGTCTGCTAATCTATCTATCTAACTACGTACCTATCTAAAAGCGACTGTTGCATCATGGCACCCAGCATGGTCAGAGTAAATCCAGGGGCTAACAGTCCAGCGGAAATTGCAAGTCCCCATTGCAGTTGGATCCAAGGGAGTTCGGGTTGTCTCGGAAGGTGTGGACTCCCATTCTCAAGCCCTTCCTTCCTGTAGCCAGGGCGAGGGAACGAATCGGGTGCTCTGGAAAGGGCGATTAGAGGCAGCTGCCGACTTCCTCAAAAATCAAAAACCAAAAACCCGCCTGCTCCTTCTGTGTCAGCTGGGATTCCATGACCTGGACACCACCGGCCAGGCCAAGAATATGAACTCACAGCGAAGGCTCTCGCCCCAGAAGCCCGCAGTGTAGCAGAGATCCAAAAACACAAACTTGCTCATCAGACACAACCATTGGTAATTGATATTTAGGCGGGGTTTGACAGGAGTGCTGCTGACCTCGGTCAGCACGGTGCTGTGGGGACAAGACAAAAACAAAAAACCGTGGTGCAAATTACGTGTGACGTGTGAGCACCTCCAGGCCGGAGCACTCACTTGTTCGCTGTTTGGACGTTTGGAGAAGACCCGAAGCTCGTGCAAGCGAGCTAGACGCAACCCCAACACACTAACACCATGCTCGCAGCTCTACGGGGTAAGAAGTTTTGCCCTGCCTTCTGGAAGCACTGCTCCTCCACAACGTCCCGCCAGCGGCGGAAGGCGAACCACGCAGCGCCGCTCATGCGCAGAGCAGTGGGTGCATCCTCATGCCCAATCCGACTGGGTCGGGGTGACGGGCTCAAAAAAACGTCCCCATCTTAAGCCACCTCCGATCACCTCCGTCTCCGTCAAAGAACTTTAGTCTCCCTATCCAACTCTCCGAGGTGCCATCACCCGCAGCGTCAGCTCACGTCGCCTGCGAAGCCGGGTGCTGCGGCTGCAGCGCTCGGCCTGCAGCATTTTGCGCCAGGTTTGAAGTTGTTGGTTCTCCATGAAAGGGAAATGCCTCGGTGTAACTTTCGCAGCATCAAGTCACATCATCTACACCTGCCAGGTTTCGGGATGGTCCGGGATGGAAGGTTACTATATCATCGTGTCAGCCACTACGTTCCTGCCTTTTTACCGGCTTGAATAGCGACATCGTGCCTGGATCTGCGCCTCCGCATCGCAAACAGCTGAGTGCCAGGTTAGCAGCGCCCACTCCTGGAAGGATTTTGGACGCGATTCTGGAAGACCTGTTGCAGATAATGCAAACAGGATCTGTTCCCAGTACCCGCTAGCCGAATCTTCATGATGGAGTCTTGCACAAAAGCCTTTCTTTTTTCTTCCCATGTATCTTTGGGCTCTTCCCGCCAGTCCCGATCCTTGAAACTCCAGCCCTAGCCGACCAAGTCTTCAAAGTTGAACGCAGCGAGGGCCCGTTGCATCTCGTGGCACGTCGGAACCTCCGTCCTTCAGCCGCTTGACATCAAGCCGGTCGGTGACGTCGAGAAAAACACCACCCAGCTCCTGTGTATAGGGATGGTTTGCTGAGTCTCCCTAAGCAGCGCTTTCCGAGGGGACGCTTGCTGTAATAACGACAGTTCGTTACACGATGAAGTTCTGGCCGAACCCAAGCCCTACGTGCACACCGGCAGGAAAGTCTGAACACGTTTTGACAAACACTCAAGCTGAGCAAAGCGTGCCAACTCCGGCTCCTGATTAAACCGAGCACGGCCAAGGTGATCCACCCAGGATGCAACAGCCGCCTTTTAGCACCACTTCGCCACAAAGAAGTGTGATCGTTGGAAGCTTCGGGGTGGCTCGTTTCAAAGAGGAAGCATCCAATCATGCTGACACTTCTGACGGCCTCTGGTGCCTGCCGAACATGCGGAACTTCAGCTCTCTGCACATCGGGTGTTCGGCATTCCGGTCCGAGCCTCCAGTAGCCCATGGCGTGCCGCGTGCTCCACCCAGCTCGCAAAAGCCTCACCCAAAGCAGAAAGAGTGCCAGGCCTAGCGGGTCACGGCACGACTTCCCTCTAGCACAAGTCGGCCTACGTATGCTTTTTGGCCAAGAAACCTCAGCTGAGGCGGCCCGTGCCATTCGAGAAGCAGAGGCCTGCCAGTCACCCTCTGCAGAGATTCCAAGAACCAAGTAACAGGTGGTGCAGCTGCCGTGGCACTTGAACAGCGATAGAATGCGATGGATGGGACAGTTGCACTCATGTGTCTTCTGGACAGTGCTTGTCTGGCAACTGCTCTGCAATCTGGATTGATAGCCTAGGGCTTATCTGAAGGACCATATGGTGCGAATCTGAATGGTGACAGGTTGCGGGGCATCAAGCCGCATTAGGGTTTGTAGATGTGAATATATCACTATACATGTGCATGTATGTGTCTGTATGTGTGTATGTGTGCATGTATGTACGCACGCATAAGGAAAAGCACTTTCTTCCACATCTCTCGTTTACAGAAGGCCACGACTCGCGCAAAGCTGGAGCAACGAATCGCACAGCGTACCTCTCTCTGCCGGCACTGGGCTACCAGGCTCTCGAGCCTCATCGACTTTCCAATTTCGCCAGAAGGGACCCGCAAGGGATGATTGCGGGTGCTCTGTGTCTTTGTTTCCTGTTCCCATGCGGCTGCCTTGATTCAACCAGAAGCCTGGCCCTCGGTTGGGTTCGCAACTGCTGCGCTTCGGCTTCATCCTGGACCTGTTCGGGATCCCACACGCGGCCCGAACTGCAGCTAGCACCCAGTGAGTCAGTCTGATCTGTGGGTTCGGAAACATCGAGGCCACCAGAAGATACAAGTCACGAGCACAGCATAACCGAGGCTATGGGAAGTCCATTCCGAACCATTCCGAACCGTGCTGCCTTGAATCCTTTAAGCCTCTTCGTCAAGGCTCGCTTCGTCCCCGCAAAGAGAACGCCAAGCCAGCAGGGCAGAGAGCAGGAAGAGCCTTTGCATCCACATAAAGCTGTGTGACCATATGTCGCCTCCACTCACCAACAATCAGCATCTTGGAACCTGGAGGTTGTTGGTAAATATCGCTGCTCTGTGGAAGTATTGCGCATTCTGTGAGCAAAGCCTCCAAAACTGCGATGATAACCGCGACTCAAGCATAACAACTCACTTCCGCTGCCTCGGACACTGAGTGGATAGGGAGCGCTCTTGCTGGTGAGTATTTTTTCACAAGGGACTCGGCTGCTGCCCTTACTGCCCAGCTTGACCCACAAGACAGTACTCATGACTGAGATGCGAGACNNGGCCACTTCGCGGCTCCAAGCTTCAGGCACAACTTGGTAGACAACTTTCTGAAATTTTGCATATAGCTGGTGAGTATGCATCTAGGAATCTAGGCACTCGCCCACCCACTCCGAAACCAGCAATGCGCCACTCTGATGCAGTCAAGCTGCTGGCTGAGTTTGGTGTTCTGTTTGTCATGGATGCGAAGGAGAAAGGCACGCTGACGCCTGACTAAGAGGAGTAGACTGAGGACTAGCTAGGTCACCAGGTGTAACAGCAGCTGGAGCTAGTCACTAAACTGTGCCTTGAGGGACAGAACGGGGGGTAGCATATGTAATGGTGAGATGGCCAGACGATGTAGCACAAGAGCATAGATAAAACGATGAGCATGCAAGCATTCAGTCTTTCTCATAATGCACTTCCTCGCAGAAGCTTACGGAACAAGGCCCATGCCACAGCCGTGACGACTGCATATCGTGAGGCATCCAAAGAAACTTCAGTCTAACACAGGGGCCGTGGCCAAGCCATGCGGCAAGACACTCCCACCCTCTCAACCATCATGATCAATTTCTCGAACTGAGACATCCAAAGTTGATCATGCCAGGCTGCATGTGACGTGCCCATGCGCCAAAGCACACGCATCCGTGAGACCTTGAATCACTCGACATGTCACAGTGCAACCCATCACAGTGTTAACTCAGGTTCAAGTTTACTTGCTCAAGTCCCTGCCAACCTTGGAAAGATTTAGGCGTCGCTTGCATCCTAAATTCAGGGTGGAGCAGTTGGGAGGTCATTCTGGACTTATCAATTTTCAGCGGAGCACCAGAATTACAACTGCAGACTTGCCTAAAGCACCGAAAGCCGTGATGTCGGCATGCCTCATTTGCCCGCGCATCAGCCACGACTGCAAAGTGGCCAAGCTGTGCTCGCGCAGTTGCCCCTGCGGACGAAAGGGCTTCTACACTTTCCCCGGTCCTGCGAGTCGCAGCTAATTTTCAATACGTCAAGACAAAGACATGCTGAACGACTGCAGGAGCCATGAAGTCCAGCCTAGCAAGATCCGGAGAAAACATGCGCGCAAGACCCGCTTGCCGACAGGAAACAGGCTCCTCCAAATCAATGACCTGGTTCGGGCACTGTGCCCTGTGTTAACGAGCCATGACCTGCACTTGAAGGCCCCCGACCAAGATCTCGCAGCCCACCCCCATGCTCTGAGATTCCAGGAGAAAACGCCATTTACAGGAAAAACCTTAAGCCAACGCTTCCACCTACAGATCCTGAGGACGGTAGCCCTTGCGACCGACCGAATACTCCACTGGAAGCTTGTCCTTTCCTTGCCTGTCGCTTGACCTCCCACTGTGCCTGCCTGGGCTCACGCTGGTTTGTCAGTCACACCCGTCAGCCAGATACCAGGGAAACTCCATGCAATGCAAAACCACATCCTCATCCGAACTGCACATCGATTGGTGTATCTGGGAGGACCTGCGCCGTGGCGCCTCAGACTGATTTCCTCAAAAAGCTCCGAGCAAAGAGCTCTAATGCGCTGGCCGACCCACAGAGGCTGGACTAGGCTCTGCTAGGCTAGACTCCCGCTGAACATCCCGATATCCGGAACAGCCAGGCTTCTCCTGCTCTGAGTGCAACTGCCGAACCTCCGGTTTTTTGGCACTCGCACTCGCAGAGGTTTGCGGCATGCTCTGCACAAGCACAAACACCAACAAAAAACCTCCTCTTTCTAGCTGCCACCGCTTCAGCAGGTCAGTGGTCGGCTCGACAGGCGAATTACCCTCCACACCAAAAATACGTGTGCCAGAAAGTCCCACCACAACTGGCCTTCGCCTGGCTTGCGCTGCGCTTGGAGCTGCAGCGGTCCCGGAAGGCCTTCCCCCGCAGATCGAGAGACGGTCCCCATGCAGACACACCGTGTCTGAAACATCCTTCCTCGTGCCTGCAGGCGTGCAAGCATCACCAGCTCAAGTTGAGCCGTGAACTTGGCGGACTCACAGACCCTGGCCCGGCTTCGGCAGCTGCCCTTCAAACGACAGAGCCGGATTCATTAGAGTTGACGGCTTCGTTCGCACTGCCACCCACACCAGTCAACGAAGCGAAAATTCCACTGCCTGGTTGTCCTCGGCAACCTGTTCGAACTGGCGCTCGCGTTTCCTGGGACATACATTCAAGCATGATGGGCTAAGGAGCTTGCTTGCTGATTAACAATGCCACGCAGGACAGCAGCTCGCCCGATTTAAAACCAAACACTTTGCATGTGGAACGACCAGAGAAGATACCCCACGACTGTCGCATCTTGACACGTGTAGCCCAGGGTCTCCGCCGCAACCCAGGCTGCCCAGCTCCTGTCAGATAAGGTGGAGAGAGGTGATGTTGCCGGTCTCGCCAGTAGTGTCGACCAGCTATCGTTTCAGTGTCTTTTCGCTCCGAAACCTCCCTCCCGGCCTGAGGCAGGCATCTACCAGGCAGGCCAGAGCTTGGCGATGGGCACAGTCTGCCACCTCGGTGGCATCACAAGTTCACAACAGTTTGATGATAGCCATCATCGCCCACACATCAGGCAAGGCAATGCGAGGACCGACAGAACAAGCCAGTCCGGGACTCAAACCCCTAATCCAAACAAGAAGCCGGCAAGCTCGAGCCTCCTGGCATCACCTCCCCTCTTGCAACTGCGACACTGAGGCTGCCTTCTGCACACGATGCCTGAGTCTTGCATGTTTTGAAAATGCCTTCCCTGTTGTACAGCTGGAAATTGCAACTGCAACAGATATGCACAGGCGAGGGGGGGACGTCAGGATAGAAGCAGAGGCTGAGTTCGTTGATGGCAATGGCAATCGCTCACTAACTAGCAAGGGACGTCCGTCACAAACATCTGCAAAAGGACCCACTCGGGGACTCACGCACCAAGTGCAAGCACTACTCTTATCATGAAACCTCTGCACTGCAATCGTCACTTAGACACTTAGAGTACTGGCTGCGCACAGACCATCCGGCGGGAAGAAATGGCTGGCTTCGTGTTTTCTGCTCGGCAAGATGCTGCGCCTCTCGAGCCAGATCGCTCAATGCCTTACAGCGGAAGAACGCATTTTCGTTCTGTTTTTTGGCGTGTTGGTTCCTTCTCTTGGTGTCGAAAAGGGGCTGAAGAAAACCACCACGTAACTCAGAAGCATTCTGCTGAACAGGCCTTCTGCGTAGCATGGAAGAAAGCAACATCTAGCCACCCGTTGCGGACGTCACAACATGTCACTCCTCCACCCTTGCAGAAGATTATCGTATCAGCTGTCTCTCCATCAAGGCACGTCTCCCACAGCCCAGAGGATAGCGCAGGGAAAAAAGCTTTCGATCCCCGCATGCCATGCGCAACTTGCTGGAACTTTAGCGTTGGCTTGCACAGGATTCTGCAGCTGCCAGGAACTGACCCAGGAATTCCATGACCAAAGCCTCGTCATGCTGCTTCAGCAACATCTCGGTATGCTCCTGCATACGAGCAGCTCTTACATGAGATCGCGTTAGACTAATCATGCTCTCTAGGCATATGGCATAAAGTGGCATAAAGGTAGCAGCCAAACTCCGGAAGCAGCCCAAGCAGATTGCCTGGTCAGACTGTAGCTTAGGATGTTTCAAAAGCATCTCTGTTTAGCCAGTCGGGCCAAAAGATGCAGGAGCCCCTCATTTTCGTCCTGCTGCTTTTCGAACTTCTGCCGCCACCGCGCCACTGATTCAGATGCCTCTCCCTCCGGCCTCCGCCAGTGCAGTGCTCGGACTCAGAACTAAGGGCTGTCCAGCACTTTAGAAAGTGATGGTACCATGATGTTCAGTCACAGTTTCAGGGCAAGGGGCCTCCTGGCGAAGGCATCACCGGCCTGCAGGCATCAATATGTCCATCAACCAGCTTCAGCTCACGGACACACCGCGCCGAGGACCACGCCAAAGCAACGGAGCTGCTGCTGGAGGTCCGAAGGCGGCTGCGCCTTCTGCTTCCGTCGCATCCGAGCATGAGCACAACATGGGCAATACTCATCAAGAAAGGCACGCCGGCTCGGCCTTTCTGCAACGGAGAGGGCCCAAACTCGCTTCTCCAGGCTCTCGCGGTGCTGCAGCAAAATGCCTTGACCCGTCGGGTCTAAGCTCCGGAGTTCGCTAGTCGGCAAAGCCGCCCCCCACCTCTAGCAAAACCCTCATCCGTGCAAGAGCCGGGCCCTGCACGCATTGAAGGGCCCAGAGGGCGCCGATGGATGGGCGAAAGGCTCTGAGCCTCCTCCTCTGCGCAGGCCAGGGATGGGAGATCTGAGAGCAAAGCATGCAAACTTAAGGAAGATGAGGGAAGTCCTCCCAGCCACGGCGTGACAGTGGCATCCACACCTTCACCATTGTGATTCTCCGACGCAGGTGTCATGGCTGCGCAGATTCAGCCATATCATGCCATATCTCATTTGACAACACACTCTTGACATCAGATTTCATGTGTCCAAGCAGCGGGTCATCTAAACACATGGAATTGCTCGGCACTCTTTCGAGGCGACAGCTTTTCGACCCGGTGCTACATTGACGAATCGTCGGGAAGGCCTCGCCCGAAGTCATGGACCGGAGCTCCAGGTCCTGCAAATTAAGCACCCACTGACGCACTGATCCACGTTGATGATGTTGCGGCTCGACGACTGGAAAGGAAACGTCAGAGTCAGAGTGACCACGAACCAGACAGGCGCAGAACATGTGGAGACATCTGTGCAACGTAGCGCCGTCGGATGCGGATTTCACATGCCTACCCACACGGATATCGCAACTTTCATGCTTCAATGCATTCAATGCGGTGAAAAAGCGCGCTGTTCTGCCTGCCTGGAGCGACACACGGAAGCCGCCCAGAGGCCGGCGCTTCTCCTGCAGCCGAGCGGGAGAGCGGGATTTAGGCCAGAACTAAGTTGCTTGGCACTTCGGATCTGGACGAGGGGTCAACATTCAGGATGCAAATGTCCGATCGGTGGCTTTCATTGCCATTGTGTACTTCGGCCAAGGCGGCTCTTCCTCCACACGACGGCGAACTCCTTGTCCCTGTTTCGGGTGTGGACCGGATCAACTTCGGTCAGACGGCCCTCCGATCAGTGACGATCTACAGGCACAAAGTAATGCGTCCATCGCTCCATGTGATCTCTTTCGATGGCAAGGCTGTGACAAGACGCGCCCCCCCTCACCCATAGACACAAAGCTGGAATGGATGATCAACACTGACAGTGTTCGGGTGCGTGGAGATAAAACGATGGAATTGCTGCCTATGGATCACGCAGCAGCACACTGCAAAAAACGCGGATGTCACTCCTGACTCGCTTGAGCTGGGGCGCTCACAAATAAACACAACGCACACGAGCGAACTCCTCCCTTCAACAACTGCAGCCATCTTCAGTATGGAATTTATTGGGATTTATCAACCTGTGAGGCGTCAAGAACGGTCCAAAGGAAGCCCTCCAAGCCCCAACAAAATTCAATGACATGCGACAGCTGTCCTGAAGATACGAAGCCTCATCATCGGCCAGGAAACTGGGCATGAGCGCAAGGCTGTTGGAGTGGAAGGATAGTCCCGCTTCCAAAACCCCGCCTACAGACTCTCCATGATTAACATCATCCACAATCGGCCACAACCACTGAGCCAAGGCACACACGGACCTGCAGATCACCCTCTCCAAAGGCGAAGGGCAGCGAGAGACAGGGCCACTCCTGTATCGAGTGGATTTTGTCCTGGTACCTGGGCGGGTGCATCAAAAAGGCAAAAAAAAAGCCGGACCTGTCGCGCTTGTTGTTTGGCTTCCAACAGCTCTTAGACTTGCATGAATACTTCTTCCCAGGTTGGAGGAAGGGGGAGCGACGCCCTCTCCCCGCGCTCCAGGCACTACCCAAACCTATCAACAGCCCTTGCCAAAGCTTCGCATCCGGCTGGGCCACTCCACCTCTGCGAAGGGAAGGCCTTCCTCTCCGACCAGGCCTTGAGCTGCAACGAGTTCTGGGCTTTGGCTTTGAATGCGAGGTTTCTTCAACTCATCTTCCAAGCTTCCCGGAGCTACTTGGGAGCCAAGATGCGAGGGCGGCACAAGGTCAGCGTGCAGGGAAAAACGCTTTCCTCTTCTGCCTTAGGCTTGGTCTGCGCCATAAAGATTGGCACCCAGATCGCGCTGTTGCATTACCTGCTGTGCACCTCTAACGTATTCGACTGGAGCCAGTGTTACCCAGAGTTTCGCAAGAGCCTGACGACTAATTGAAAGCGGAGGTACGAGATGGCTGGTGAACTCGGCCGGGCACACATCCACAGACATCAGCGGTGCACCGCAGAGTAGGTCAGCATACGAGCGAAAGCTTACGGGAATGTCCGGACAATTGGGAGAGGTTACACGAGAATCAACCTACCTTGTTTTTATAACAAGAACTGACACAAGACTTCAGTCTAGCGCAGGTCGAAGGATCGACTTATCCACACTTCACGGCCTGCACTCGTTTACAATGCACGCAAAGTTGAGCCAGAGCTGCAGGTGTTGCCTCGATCCACTTGCAGCTGTTGGTTGAGTTACTCCGAACCTTCAAACCACGGGAAGCGATGTGCCCATAACCCGAAAGATTCAGCCTGATATCCGAATTGTTCCCGGAGCAACCGTGGGTCCGGTCCCAGGTCCGAGGCATGATTGCCTCTCCAAGCGCTCGACCCGCTGATCCAGCTTCATCAGCTTGGCCTGGAAAACAGGAAGGAAGGAAGGAAGGAAGGAAGGAAGGAAGGAAGGACCGCTGAGGGGCCGGGAGGGGAAGCTAAACCACAGGCTTCTTCAGCATGTCGTGAAAAAACAACCCTCCTGGCTCGTGCCACGAGGCGCATCCTGGCCTCGGCTCTGGTCGCGAAAGCTTCCAAGAAGCTGCCCGTCTCTGTGACGAAGCGGTTCACCTCTGCCAAGCTCTCGAATGGCCGGATGCGGGGCACATCTACGGGCCAAATCGAACATTTCGGACCACATTCTCAGCCCTGCTTCGACTTGGATTCGGGCCATTCCGGCAAGCACCTTCGGGTCGATCCGCTGGACCGTAACCTTTCGGATGGAGGGAATGCTGCGGAATGCTCTATATCCACCCCTAGTCAATCACGAAGCCTGGATGCGACTCTTGATGGGCAACATACAACATACATGCGACTCTGGTTTGGGTGTTAGCGGCCGCTAGCGAGTATCCTTGATTTCCAAACGCCATTACGGCACAAGTCGACCAGGCCGCCTTTCGGGTTACGTTTCGAGTCCCAGGCACATTACCCCCCGCACTGTCCGGCGGAGCCATGCGGTTCGCGCTGGCAGGAGCCCGTTGCTGAAAGAGAGTTTAAGACAGACACGGTGGAGTCTCTAACGAGCCCTTGTTCCGGGCACTCGTAGTTGTCGCTGAGGGCCGAAGCCCAGGCTGAAGGCCGGGTGCAGCTGTTCTGGAGGTTTACGAGCTGCAAAGCCAGGGTCTGCGTCACTGTAGACTTGCCCAGATGAGTATGAGTGATATGGGTCTATCGGAATCGGACTGCTGCAAGGTAGGCACGCCACGAATCACGACATCTCTGGGCAAAAAAGCAGCGGTCTTCCGAGATCCAAAGAACTCACTACCCCCACGCACATCTGTCTGACATATTGAGGACTGAAGAAGGGGCAGGTAGGGGTCTTTGTCCAGGGCACGAAACAAGCTTCTGTGAGCATCATCGACGCAGACTTACACTGGGACCCCTCTCTGGACGGATGCATTTTGGTTTCACGCCGCATGGTCTCCCAAGGCATCCAGATGTGACCGCGACTGGCATCTACCATTTGCACTTCAAGCTTCCAATTGAAACCAGTGGTCGAGGCACTTCGTGCACAATCGAACAATCGAACTAATGGACAGAGAAGCTGCTGCAATCCTCGGAGCCCACATGCCAAAGCATCGACGAGCAAAAAACAGTACCGGCACGAGTCGGCTCTGCGCCCTCGCTCAATCTGCATATACAGTGTCACACCAGAAGCAAGCGTAAAAGACGCTTCCAAGCACAGGCTGACGAGCAAATCCTTTCCAAATCGTAGCGGTCAGCTTGCGAACTAGATGCTCTCGGAGTCCTGGTGGCAAATAAAAGTGCGACACATAAATTCCGTTGCAGGGGCAATGGAACTCAGAGGCTTTCGAAAAGACAGGCCATGCCTGGATAGCTCGGCTGAAGAGCTCCGGGACAAGGCCATCCTCAGGACCTCAGGGAAGAACAGAGCAAGGAAGGGCGTGCGAAAGCGAATGACATGAAAAGCGGCTGGTAAAAGCAATCGCCGAGCTTCACCCCGAACGGAGGCTCTTCGGGACGGCGAAGGAGTGATGTGCGCAGTGGTTCGGCAGCCAGCACCTGTCCAGTGGATCCTCAACCGAATCATGCCCAGCCGGACCTTACCTCGTGCTGGAGCAAATCACATCCCCACGGCTGTTCTGAAGGTGCCTTGCGGGCGAATTCTGGGACTACTGAGTCCATTTCGCATTTCAAGTGGCCTGTTCAATAGAGCGAGAAGCCCAGGATATCCAGCTCAGACTCGTCTTCTTTTTTCTTCTTCTTTTTCTTCTTCTTGGTGTCCTGGCATAGACCAGCGATTTCGCCAAATTCAGAGAAACTCCAGCCCAGGTATCTAATTGAATGAACCTGGCACTCAGCCCGTCCTTGTCCTTCTCCTTCGGCTCCTTCGCATCCTTCCCATCCTTTTCTTTTGCCTTCGCCGGGAGCCGGAAGCCGCGCTGCGGCTGGAGCTCCAAGTTCTCCGACAGGCCCAGCCTTCTCCAAGTGACGACACAGCAAAAAGAAAACACTCCGAGAGACTCAGAGAGGCCGAGGCTTAGCTCCGATGCCTCCCGAAGCAATCGGAGGAGTTCTGCTGGCCAAGCCACGGATCGGACGAGGCCGCGGCTTTCGTGGCGTCGGGCGCCGTACCGAAGAAGCCGAGAGGCTCAACCTTCACCTGACAGGGCTCGACCAATTACCGAACCTGAGCCGAGCTGAAACTGAACCCAACCCAACAAGTTTCGGAAGTTTGAAGGAGCGCATGTCGTTCGCAAGCCACGAAAGGCGCTGCGATGGCCGCTAGCATACACAGTGGATGTCGCACCATTTCGAGTGTTGTCACGAGTCCTCGTGAT